TCACACTATACTTTTAGTTTCAAAGACTAGAAACAACCAAATAGTCTACCCTAAGGAACTGATACCATAAATTTCAAAATGTTGCTATCACGGAATGCTATTTAGTAATAATGAAAAATGAGACACATATGTCTGTGCTTAGATGGCAAGATTCCCAAAATAAATTAGTGAAAAACCTAATGTTGAAATTGGCTTGCATTGTTCACCTTTGACTGAAGTAATTTATAAGAATTACATACATAGTGTTATATATGCTAGTGAATGCTTAATGATCCCCCTCTGGAAGGAAGGAAGTTGCTACATCTATGGAGAGGGCTTGAAAAAGTGTCAGGGGGATTTTGTCACCTTCTGGTTAATATTTCTATACTACTTGAACATAATTTACCATGTATATGTATTACCAAAATCCAAAAATGGAGAGTTTACACACTGAAGGCTTGGGAATAAAGAACAGATTGACCAGAGTGGCACCAATCCACCTGGAATTTTGTAGCTGTCTCTTCCTCTTGACTTGAACTGACTTGGTTTTCTGCTTTTTGATTATTTTTCCACTTTAGCTGCTTATTTCTTATTTAGTTTTGATGATCTTGTTCCTACTTTTTACCTCTCCTGAGCATACAGTCTATCTTGCCTGAGTTTCTCCTTTGTCTTTGGACCTGGATTCTTCCTGTAGCCCTGTTCTGTTCCCCGGTCAGTCTATTTTGGCTTCAATATACCCACTTAATTCTGGACTCAACTGCCTCTGACAATTTCAGCCAAGTATTCCTAGAATATATCATCCTGCAGAGGAAAACTATAAATAACTTTCAAAAACATATGTATGCATTGCTATTTTGTTTTGATTATAGTCCCTAAGAATTATAATCCAGGAATTCTTCTGGATTCAAAAACTAGGAAAACACCCTTGTAAATAAATGAGTACCACCAAAAATCCCAACAGACAGGTCCCAACTGTCCCTCAAATAAAAAGGTCTCTTTTGAGGACGGAATTCCCCCCCAAAACTTAGTAATCTTGGATTCTAGTAATGGTTCATTAAAATAATCAGGAGCTGAGGTCTTCACAAGTACTTTCTTGCCAGGGAGGAGGAGTGCAGGTCATATACATTCAGAGTGGTACAATTTATACTGAAGAGAAGAAATCTGGACAGAAGTATCATGTGACAAAATCTTAGCCTCTGGTCTCAAATTCACTTACCAGAATTAGCCCAAAGAAAGCTCAGTGGACATTTGAAAACCCCGAGTGGGTACAGGACAGTAAGTCACTGTGTAAAATGGAGTCTCACCAGGGTGAGCCATTATGACTAGCAATGGAGGCAGGGAAGGCTTCCAGGAACATGAAGGAAAGCTGCTTCAGTTTTAACTAAGCCCGCTTGAACTTCTCTATGGCAGCCTCATGGTTCACTAACATGGTTCACTTATTTCTATGGATACGAAAACAACTTCCAAGCTGTGCCTGTCCAGCCCACCAAAACAAGAATATTGGGGAGAGGCCAGAATCTTTACAGAACTAACTGTTCTTGTGACCGTAGTCAGTCAGACCCTTGACCAGAAGAAACTGGCCAGAGTCCATTTAAGAGCTCAGGAAGGAGGAATGAATTCTTGCCCCTGCTAGAGTAATACAAAGGAGAGATTGTTATACATGTAACTTCTATACCCATCAGCAATCCTGAGGCCTTTTTGCCTATGGTTTTAGATGCAATTAGATCTATGGAATACAAAATTAAAAAAAAAATTCCAAAAGTGTCACATTTACTGGAACCCTGGAGGTCTCTTAGAACTGGCTACTTACCTCTACTTCTGATCATTCTGAAAGAGTTGGTATGCTTTTCCAGGATCTACTCCCATCTCAAAACTACTCTAGCTTTTCAAATGTAGAACCAAACACATAGATATTCAACTTCTTCTCAAATTGAAGAGCGACTTTGAAACATATTAGGGTGAGACTGGATATGGACCAGAGCCAAAGTTATAACCTATAATCAGGTGCTTGGACCCTGCAACCTCTGGGAGAACTCAGAGAATTAAAGACTGGTGGATCAGTTGCCTCACTCTGGCATTTGAAGTAGAAGGGAAGAAATATTTTACTCAACACCATATATTCAACCAGGTACTATGGCCCCCAAATCAGCATCCTTCGGTTCCAGTTTAAAACCAAATTCTCCGTCCTAATCTCGGACTTTTAAAGTCATAATTTCTCTGGCCCGGGTTGAGGGGGTGTTGATGAGGGGTGCTAGCTTCAGCATTTTGGTCAACCTTTTGTTTGATGTTGATACAGTCAGTCTGGCACCTGCCTGCCACCACAATGATTGTGGTGTCCACAGCTGTCCACAGAGTGGTTACATTCAGCTAGCAATAGGCTGAGTCAATCCAGTCAGGAATACTCTGTATATAACAGGGATAACTCTTTGCAAGGCAAAGGAGGGATCTCCCACTGGCATGGAGTACAACTAGAATAAGCCTGATATATAAATAGCAATGAATGAACAAATCCATGGAAATCATGATCCCGGATGGGCCAAGAGACACAGACCAGCTGAGAAACATCCCTAGAAGCCCTCAGGTGAAAACTTACTCTTCAGCCTTAAAGGTTTCCTCCTTCAGCATTGCAGAGGTGATGACTTACTTGCCTGGCCTTGGTCAACCCACACTAATAGAAGAGAAAGGGGCCAACTCAGGGAAAAATGAGATCTGTACAAGTTCATATGATGGTGGATGGCTACATTGTTAATAGCTAGTCAGTGTGGGCGGGACTTACAGATATCCTCTCACAGCTGACCAAACTGATACTGGTTAGTAAAAATAGTGGGACCAGAGTCCCAGAAATCAAGAACATCGCTTTTATACTAATGCCCCCACCATAAGCTTTTAAGAGAGGGTCTATGATGCTAGCCATAGGGTTGTCGGTCAGTCTTTGAGTAGCCCCATTGTGGTACAGATCCTATCATGATGAGATCTAGGACTGAGACATATTAGCATACTTCTTCCCTAAGTAAGGTATTGAGTAAAATATTGCTGTTTCATTCCCAGAGTGCTTTAAAGCTGTATTCATCCTACCTGGGCAAAATTAGTGGAAGTGTATATCAACTACCCTACCAGAGCCTCTCCCACAGGAGGCTGTGAAACAGAATGCCTGGATGTTTGGCTCTACCTTCTGCTCCTTAGTGGAGACTGATAAACTGCAGCAGGTCGTGGAGCCTGCCTATGTCATCGGGGGTCTACAGGTCCCTTTTCTTGAGCCTACATCCAATTTCAGGTTTTTCTCCTCTTGTTTTCAAACACATTGATTGGAAAGAAGGGGCTCACAATACCTCTTCCCTGAGTCCAGGATTACAATGAATCCCAGCAGGTAAGAGTAGAATATTGTATAACTAACTTTCTTTTCTCCTACATTAATTAATGGGCCAAATAAATTTAGCAATATCCAATATACTTACGTGCCAAAAATGAGACCACATACCTAAAATAAAATTTAAAGCTAAAAAGAGGAAGAGGGTAGAGCTTATTTTGAGAATATTCAGAAGTATTTAAATATGAATTATTAACCATGGCACACGATTTTGTGAAGATGGAGTCTCACAGGTTAGAATATACTTTAAACTGTACAGGTGCCAAGAGATCAGAACCTGGATTTGAATTTCTTTTCTCTTAGTGCACTGTAGTGAGGCTGTCAAAGCCCCTTTCATTTTTATATAAACATAAAATGAGAGCTAGAATAATGAAGTGGACAAAAACACAAAACAATTCCTTATACAAGCAACAGTTACACATGATATTACATTCACAAAACCTTTCATGTAATCTGTGTTGTTCAGTCCTTACCAGGATATGTAAGCTTTTGATGTGTCATTTACAAATAAGAAGAATAAAATTTAATCAAAAGTTAAATAACTCATTTCATTTTTGAAAAATGAAAATCAATTTTTATAATTCTAAATCTCAAAGTCTTTATTGAACTTCAGCTCAGTATTGATTAGCCAACCAATCTCAACAAATTACCTATGGGTCTTATCTTCTTGATTTGTAAAACTGGTGGCTGGATTTTAGAAACTTTAATTAGAGCTGGAAAATAGCAGGTATGGTGCACAAGACTCTGTTTACTACAGGGCCCAGATTCCTTCTATTTTGCCATAAACTACTCTCCTGAACAATAGCCAGGAAGAAAAGTATCCACAAAAATAACACCCAAACTTCTCATTTCAAGAGAATTTTCTGACCAATATCCAAATTTGACTCCATCATTTCCATTAATAAAGGGAGCAAAACAGTGTGTCATTCCACATATTTTTATCATTTGTCCTGCTTTGACCAATATCCTAAGTATTGGAGGCAACATATAACAAGAGTCACAATGAATACATCATCACTTCTAGAAGAAAACTTCCAGAAGGTATTCAGTTTACAGGCTAACCAAGACAAAAACAAAAACAAACCTGTTGATCCAAACGATACCAAAATGCCCAGCCATTTAAACTGGGCACACCATTTCCCATCACATCTATGCCTCTGTTTTTTTTTTTTAATTTTTTAATCTATGCCTCTAATTTTATACTGATTGACATATGAAAAGCACCAATTTTAAAATCACTAAGTTATTTAAAATAAGAGACAAGATCCCTTCAAAGTATACTCCATCCTGAGTAAGCTTTAATTCCCTCTATTCTATCATTGTGTCATGTAATCTAAAAGTCATTGCCATATAGGGTTTCTAGAAATTAGAAACTCTTAATTTCTGCTCTGTTAGTGTAAAGCATCTTGGCTTCAGAAGCTTACCTGGTGGGATGAGAAAACTGACCAGGGACACAGTGCAGAGTAAACATCCGCACACCAATGCTGCCTTTGAAGTAGCTCTCTTAATTCAGGTCCAGAATCTTAAATCTACTGTTAAAGACTTTAAGGGTGTGTATGGGGTGGGGCCGGCTGGGGGTGGGTGGGAAAGGGTGGCAGCAGATGGCGGCTCTCACCATGCTGGGGCTGGGCACACAGCAAGAAAAGGCACTTACTTGCTACCATGTGATGGGTCTCCAACAGCACCTGAGGGAACCCTGAGAAGCAGAGCTCCCTGGAGCCCTTTTCTCCTCCTGGGCTTCTTTTTCTTCCCGGATCTTTCTGGCTTTCCCAGTTCTGGTTGCTTAGGAGGTGTTGCTAGGCTGGCGTCTGCCCTCACCAGCTGATGCTACAGGTCACGACGGCTCGGCGGTGAATGGGCCCCACTGGATTCCCAGCTAGAAACCGGGTCCCTGGGGTGGCTGCCCAGCCACTGGTCCAGAGACCCCTCCTGGCCAGATGCGCAGTGGAGCCGCGCCTGCCGCCTTGATGCTGTTTGTGTCTTTCCCACTCCTCCCTCCCATCTCCTGGCCACGCCACCCTCTCCCCCGCCCTCATCCCCAGGCCGGTGCGCGACTTGGCCATCCAGACCGGGCGTGGGCGGGGTGATGGAGCCCGAGACCCGCAGCCGCCACCGCTTAGGCCTGACCGGCAGCTGCGCCGCTCGGGTCTCCTCCACAGCTGCTGGAGAAGGGAGGGGGCGCGAGGAGGGGATCCGTGAGGAGGAGGAGCGGATGCAAGAGCCTGAAAAGCTGGAGAGGATAGGAAGAGGGGGTATGCAGCTAAGGGTTTTGGAGAGGTGGGAAGAGGAGAGAGAGGAGGGGAGAGGGAGAGAGGAAGGCAGCAAACTCAGGTCTTCACCTCCAGTTGCTTTCTCTCTCCCCTTGCCTAGCTGTCCCAGTAGAGCTTGTCAGGGGCAATTGTCAGCCTGCAGCATTCAGATCTGAACATTGCTTAGGGGTGTGGGGGTGGGGGGTGGGTGTTTAGGAACGAATGGGTTGGAGCTATTACAACCTCACTCGGGATTTCTTTCCCACTCTGGTGACTTGAGATACAAAGGGCAGAGGAAAAATCATGCATATTTGGAAAAACTGTGTGCAACAATCAAGTTTGGGGGTGAAGGGAAGAGCTGTTGGCTCCCTTTCCCAAAGGGAGTTTGGAAACTTTGCTACAACACAGAACGCTCATTTTATAATCTTATCTTGTTTGAAAATGGTGAACTAATGAATCGTTGAACATTACATCAAAAACTAATGATGTACTATATGTTGGCTAACTGAACATAGTAATAAAAAAAAGTAAAAACAATTTCTACAATACACCAAGAAAAAATAACAAAAATGAGGAAAAGGAAAAAGAAATCGTGTGTATTTGTAAGAGGCTCTAAGTGTATATTCCAAGGCGTGAGACAGAAGGGTAAAGTGGAACGAAACTAACACTGGTTCTGCGCAAACTGTGTCAGGGACTTCATGTTTCATCCATGACTCACAGAAAAGGCCTTGTTACATGTATTTTGTTTGTTTAAATTACACGCTTGTTATGAAAGATTTCAAACATATACGAAAATACAAAGAAAGTGTAACAAACTCCTTTGTACTCATCACTCCGCCTCAGTCACACTGCCTCAACTATTATCAACACGTAGCCTATCTTGTTTTATCTATACTTGCCCCCTCACCTTGGATTAGCTTAAAAGTAGTCCAGATATCATAATATTTTATCCAAAATTATATTAACATAAGACTCTGAATAAGTTCTTTAAAAATACACCCCTTCAATACAACCCAATACAATTATCATAACTAAAAATTAACAATTACTTCATAGTGTCAAACATCCACTTGATTTCTTTTTAATAAACTATACAGTGGCAAACTGAACATAATAAAAAAATGTATAGATTATCATCTTCTCTTTCCCACACTTTGTGATGGCAGTACAAGTGAATGTTCTAGTGCATAGAACTTTCTTCTGGGGCAATCCAACTTATGCATCCCTTTTCACCCAGGAAAAATCTATGCATCTTGCAGTACATTAAAACATAAGAAACATTTAACGAATTTAATATTAAATATTTTAAAGCTTAAATAATATACTTGACATAAACTGCTTTGTATAATGTGTAATGAACACAAGATGCTGTGCAAACCAGTAATAGAAACAAGAGACAAATAGAAGGGAAACCAATGATGTTGGATTTATCTTCTGAGCTGGGGAATCATTTTTTTTTTTTTCTGGAACAATATGTTGCTAATGTGGGAAACAAAGGCAGAAGAAAATTATTAAATTTCCTTACTACTTGCAGCGCATTGACAAGTCCTTGAAACAGGCAGAGTGACATTGCTCAGGAACTCAGCTGCCTCAATATTAATACTTTGCTATGGGCAAAAGAAAACCCTAGCCTGACTCCCAGGATCCTGTAACTCTAACATATAAAAATTCCTTTGGAAACTTCCTTTATCTTATGTTGGCAATCATCCCCCAAGCATATGACCCTCCAGTATATATCTGAAGGGTCTCGTGTCTCAAGTTTTATTAGACAGTAATAAATGACTTTTCCCCAACAACAGGTAGCCCCATCAATGTCCTAGAAACCTTGTTTCCAAAATTCCTTAGAGATTTATGCTATCCCTAAACCCCTCCCAACTTGAAAGTATATCATGGGCCACTCCTCATGACCCCAGTGCAGCTCTTCCTGCACACGGGTCCTGTCCCCGTGCTTTCATAAAACCACCTTTTTGTACCAAAGACGTCTCAAGAATTCTTTCTTGGCCATCGGCTTCGAACACTAACATTTTTCCTACATCATTGCCACCATTGTTAGATAATATTACTAAGTTAATCTGACAAATTTTGGCAATCATTATGCTCCTAATAATGAGTTGATGAGATTCTTTTGAATTGCTCAGTAGAGGGAAGCTCTTTGTTTTCCACACTTCTGCCTTAAGAACCTTATAATCATGTTTTCTAAGCTGTGTTTCTTAAGTACATATTCAGAAGGTGGAAACTCTAGACCTGCATGTCCTACCTCATCAAGAAAAAACTGATTTTGGTGAGGTTATGGAGAAAGGGGAGCCCTCTTACACTGCTGGTGGGAATGCAAGCTGGTGTAGCCACTCTGGAAAACAGTATGGAGGTTCCTCAAAAAGTTAAAAATAGAGCCACCCTATGACCCAGCAATTGCACTACTAGGTATTTACTCCAAAGTTATAAACGTAGTGATCTGAAGGGACAACTGCACCCCCATATTTATAGCAGCAATGTCCACAATGGCAAAACTATGGAAAGAGCCCAGATGTCCATTGACAGACAAATGGATAAATATATAAATATAAATACACACACACATACACACACACAATGGAATATTACACAGCCATCAAAAAATGAAATCTTGCCATTTGCAATGACATGGATGGAACTAGAGGGTATTATGCTAAGTGAAACAAGTCAGTCAGAGAAAGACAATTATATGATCTCACTCATATGTGGAATTTAAGAAACAAAACAGAGGATCATAGGGGATGGGAGGGAAAAATAAAATAAGATGAAATCAGAGAGGGAGACAAACCATAAGAAACTCTTAACTATAAGAAACAAAGGGTTGTTGGAGGGGATAAGGGGTGGGGGATGGGGTAATTGGATGATGGGCATTAAGGAGGAGGGCATGTGATGTAATGAGCGCTGGGTGTTATATGCAACTGATGAATCACTGAACTCTACCTCTGAGACTAATAATATACTATATGTTAACTAACTGAATTTAAATAAAATAAAATAAATTAAAAAAAACCCCTGCTTTGTCACACTACACTCAAATCTGATAGGCGCCTAGGGGAATTATTTTCCTTGCAGCCTGCTTAAGTGGGGGCTGTTTATTCTAACCTCAAAGATGTCAGCATCAGGAGTGTGGATGGGACTCTTGTTTTTATTCTCACTCCATTTCACCATGTCCAGGTTTGATAAAACCTTAAACAATTCTCCCAAAATGCAAACAAATCAAAACTCCTTTTTTGAAGATATGTGTGTCTAGCTGTGTCATCTTTTTCTTCTTCTAGTCCAGCATTCATCTTTTAACTTTATGGGCATTCTTATTTATTAAGGATTTACTTTCTGGTTGACAGTCTTCTCCTCTACCCAGACTCTTTCTATTATTAATAACTTTCCCATCCATTTGTATACCAACAACATTTGGATGAAACATCTAATAGCTTAGCTTCTGATTTCCTCCCTAATAGAGGATCTCTTTCTCCACTCCGCCTCAGCTATAATTCCCACACTTTGAATCTTGTCATAGCTAGCAACTGCTTTGTTTTTCTCCATAACACTTATCTAACATGCTAAATATCAATTGCTTATTTGTTTATTTTATGTTTTGTTCTACCAGAATGAAGGCTGCATGACAATTCTTGTTTATCCCCTGCTATGAGGTAGCACTTAGAACACAGGTTGTAATATAGTTGGTACCCAGTAAATTTGCTAAGGCAATGAACACCAAGCATGCCCCTAACCCACTATGTGCTTCCCAGAAAAATGTAGTGATTCACCATAGAAATAGATCATAGAGCACACGTAATATGAAGAACATGAGAATTGTTGATCTGCTTTCATTCTGCCTAATCTCTGGTACTTATATACTTTAATGCTTTTGTAATATATAGGTAGTAAAATTTCCCCTGGTTGCAGAATTTTGATATGAAGCACAGGCCTCTCTGAAAAGAAAGGGTAAAAACAAGAAAGTCCAATGATATCTATGGGGAATGCCAAGGCACTCAAGGAACTAAAGCACTCAGCATCAAAGAGGAACTTCCCCTACCCTTATTCTAGTATAATAAGGAATAGACGTGGTTTGGGTTTGTTGTCAAAATCCAGGCTTAGATATCGTTCAGAGTGAATATAATATAAATCATATTGCAGAAAATCATTTGAATGATTTGAATCATTTGAATTTTAAAGTTCTTAAGACTTCATATTTTTTTCTTTTTAGCTAATGCTAGTTAGCTTTCCATATGTCATGTGCAATGTCATAGGAAAATACGAAAAATCCATTTTGTCTTAGTCAGTTAAGGGTGCTATAACAAAATACTACAAACTTGGTGGTTGCTAAACAATAGAAATTGATTTCTCATAGTTTGGGATGTTGGAAGTCTGAGATGAGAGATCCAGCATAGTCAGGTTCCAGTGAGAAGCCTCTTCTAGGGTGCAGACTATTGGTTTCTACTTGTATCTTCACATGGTGAAGAGCTGAGAGAAGAAGCAAGCTCTCTCATGATTCTT